CTATATCTTTCAAGAAATCTTCTGCTACTTCTGTTTCGACATCTTTTGGCCGTCATTTCTCAAGGCAGCTTGATACACCAGAAGACACTCCTCGTTCAAACACTAAAAAAACCACCAAGAGACCCGCTGAAGCATCTCATTCTTGCCAGGTAGAAGAGTACTCCCCTTATTTATTCTTTTGATGTTCTTTTGGAATGTTAACATTTTTTTTTGCAAACACCTCGAAATAGGCCAACCGTTGAAACTCCATGGGTTTCTTCTCCTCATCCGGCTCCAGAACCTGAGCCAGAATCCACAACCGCTCCACCTACTCCAGTCCCATTAGCGGATATAGAAAATACTTTTCCACCAGTTTTGCTCATTCACACGCTGTTGATTCCCTATAAATCCCGTGTAGGCTCGAGAATCCGTTGGACACCTTTTTGGCCGGTCTTCCGTCAAGCCTGAAAACCTTCAAGTTTATTCAGGTGTCCTTGCTTCGCATGATCCAAAAGAATGGAACAAGAGACAGGTTGGAAATATGACAAATACTCCTCCGGAGAGGATAGTTAAAAAAAGATGGACCACCAGTCCTCTTTGAAGCAATAGAAAAGTATGCATGTTTATGTTTTTAGTATGGAGCACTAGACGTTTTCTGAAGAAGATTCATAAGTACAAGGCCCTTCAGACAAAACATGAGTTTTTTTGTGTTGAAGTAAAAATAATGCAACGACTGAAGGTTTTCCCTCCCTGCATCACCTAGTTAGACCAAAGTCTGACCGACCATACCATTTGCCAGAAGGATTTGTTTGAAAGGTCAAGGAAGCTGGAGGTGCCACTCTTCGAACTGCACTAGAAGGTCTTGTTTGAGAAGAACTTAGACAAAGTAGCTCGAGGACTAGAGAAGTTCCGAGAAGCTTGAAATGAAATTGTTGTCATCTGATATCAATCCAGACTGATGACATGGCTGGACCCTGTGGCAGAGCAAGTCTTTCTACTGACTCAATTGTTGACCCTGCAAACTTAATAGCCTTTATCCTGAATAAACTGCAATCCACCCTTTCGGAGGACTTCACTGTTGATCAACCTGCTTGGGTTTTGCTAGCCAATTGATTCTCATGCTACGGAATAAAAAAAAGATTTATCTACCATTTCTCCAGTCACATCATCTACTAATACCGTTGATCCGCCCACGAACACTTCTGCAGCAGCAACTGCTGAAACCGCCCCTCAAGTTCCACCATCCACAATTGAATGAAAAATTTTGAAATTAAATTCCAGCCCATCGAAACTTTGTTTTGACTATTTTTCCTTTTTTGAATATGACACCTACCTTTTTAATCCATATCTTCCCAAAGGATTGATAGAATTTCTTTAAGTATTTTTCATTTTTGACAACATCAAGCTCCATTCCTTCAAGTTTCATAATTTGATATGCACCATTAAGTAGCTTGGCCAAAACTATATATGGCCCCTTGCAATTGGGTGACCATATTCCAAGTCCAACATCATTTGTGTATTCTGACAAAATAACTGTCAGCACTAAATCACTTTCTTGAAAGGACACAAGCCGGATGTGTTTGTTAAATTCCCTCTTAATTTGTTTCTTATTCGTTCGGATATGCTCCAAAACTTGAAATCTTTCTTCAGAAAAAAGGTCCACGTCTTGAAATAAGGTAGCGTCATTTTTCTCCACTGAGAGTTGATTCTGCTTCAGTATCCACAACGACGGTATTGTAATCTCCATGGACAAAACCACATCATGCCCGTAGGTCAACCTAAAAAGGGTACTTCCAATCGCTGATGATTTTGCGTTGCAGTAGGCCTATAATACTTTCCAAGGTTTTATGCCTTTCTCACGGATTCTCTTTAAATGAAGTTTTTACTATAGCAATCAAAACTTTGTTTGTTGCTTCCACCTGCCCATTGACTTGAGGATAATAGGTCGTGGAATAAAAAATTTTAATTCTGTATTGAGCAGAACAAGCTTTTTCTCTCCCGTTAGCAAAGACTAATCGTTGGTAAGTTGTGATGGTCTACGGAATTTCAAATCGGTGAATCAAGTTATTTTTAATGAACTTGACTACATGCTTCTAGCGGACCTGGACTAGTGGTACTTCTTCCACCCACTTAGTAAAATAATTCGTAGCCACCAGGATGTATGAATGACCCTTTGATAATGACGGATAGATTTTCTCAATAATATTCATAGTTTAAGCTGGAAAAAGCTATGACTTCACGATGGAATGCAACTCTTCCATTAGAATCCGCCAGATTGGTCCATGATGCTGGCATGCCTCACAACCATGGGCATATTCTACATAGTCCTTGGAGATTGTAAAACAAATATACCATAGTAGAAAATAGTCCACCTCATATTTACCCTATTCCGATGAGCTCCGCCAATGTCTTCATACACTTCCGCCATCACTTTCTTTGCTTCTGCAAGCCCTAGGCATCAAGCAAGAGTTCCATCTGGCCTTCCGTGGAACAACTTTGTCTAGAACAACGTATCTAGGTAGATGCTCCTTCAGTTCTCTGGAAGCTACTATGTTCTGATCTGCTAACCCCTTTAGATACGTTTTCTGCCAATCCGCCGATTTACGTCTAATGCACACACAAGGCCTTTCCGCTAATATCTAGAAGCTTCATGTGCCAAATCATTTGTTTCCACATTTTCCTCCCTGGAAATATTTTCCAATCCTACATCGTCAAACTATTTCAACAATATTTTTACCTCTTTAAGAAGCTCCTACAAATTTGATTCCTTGCAGAGAAACTCTTTTGATATGGACGTTCTTTATTCATTTTAATACAAAAAACCGTAGTGCCATTAGTAAAGCTTCACACTCCGTTTGGTTATTGGTGCATCTTAGTGGCAATCGAAAAAAAACTCACCAAGTTTGTCCTTCAGGGCTGATGATGACTACTCTAGTGCCAACGGATCCTCCTATACTGGATTCGTTCAATAGAACATGCCACTATTTTTGCCCAATATAAGCTGATGGAATCTCCTCTGGCTGAACTATTCCAGGATGTTTTGTCAGAAAATCTACTACTGCCTGCCCTTTTATAGCTCTGAGAGTCTCATACGTCAAGGCAAATGATACCAATTTCATAGCCCACTTAACAAGACGGCCTTAAAGGACGGGTCTGCTTAGAACATGCTTCAATAAATCCACCTTGCAAAGTACCTTTGTTTCCACTAGCATAAGGTAGTATTCCAATTTGGTGTATGCATGGTAGAATGATAAGCATAGCTTCTGAATAGGGGAATATCGGGATTCCGTCTCATTCAAAGCTTTTCTAAAATAATACACTGATATTTCCCTTTGATAAAAGAAAAATCCATAATATACACCGCCATAAGAAAGGTTTCTATACCTTTCACTATAGGATATTCGATATTCAAGTTTATAATGTATTTTTTTATTCGATAACAAAGAGGGTCTACTAGTAACTCAAGGTTAGGACCTCAATCAGCTCCGGTGAAGCAATAGAGGCACTAGTTTACCACAATTCTTGCTTACAACCTCCAAGCCACCACACTAATGACTCGAATATGGCGAGAGCATTCTTTTGCACTTTTCTTTTACACTAAAAGTGTCAACTCATGTTTTCCCCATTTTCTTATCATTCTTTCTTGTTTTCTAAGTGTGAGTGAAGTAGGAAATAACCCTATTTATAGGAACAAGATCCTTTCATCCTTAATCATATTTTAAATTGAAGACATTTGCATGCATCACGACACATCTCACTGAATGTGTATTGCCCTTGACGCTACACTTGTCTCGCATGCAATTTGACACATTGCACTCAATGTGTCATGCACAATCCATGACACTTATTCCACATGATACATCACACCCGGTGTATCTCTCCATGATTGCGCCACCTCATGCTTAAGAACATATGGTTCTTAAAGGATTTTTTATAAAGAAGAAAAATAGTACCTTGTGCTTAAGGACAATTTGTACTTAATGACACCTTGTACTTAAATTTCCTTCGTATAGAAGAAAATGACACTTCATACTTGACACCTCATGCTTAAGAACACCTTATATTTAGACATGTCCTGGTTACTAGTCATGTGTTACCTCGTGTTTGGACACACTATACTTACTAGTAACATTCCACCTCATGCTTAGACATTATATTCTCATTTGTTTAATCTACGTTTGCATATATTCTCACATATTTCCAACAAAACCATCAGAAAAAGGAATTTTGATTTTTTTTTTTTTGGAACATGCATAAAAAAATTTCAAACTTCTTATCTTCAACCCTTTTCTTGAGTTGTTGAGAGTACACGAGTCAAGATGTAATTCATGGAAGTGCTCATTAACTCTTATCCTCTAAGTGGATTCAATTATTTTTTTTTAATATTATTATTATTATTATTATTTATTTTAGGACAGTAACTACGAAAATTTTGTTGTTTTTATTCTCCGATACTAGAAAATTGCACGTGACCCACACATGAGATGAGGTGTACACACCGGTGCTTATATGTCACCTACCGAAGATGACGTGTATGCTATGAGGCATATTCCTAACAATGACATGGATTTATGTTAAAAAAACAAGAAACAAAAGAAAATCTTTTGATTTGCAATTTGGCCTGATTGAACCAAATTGCAAATATAATAATTGCAATTGATCGAATAAACACCCCTATGAACCCTAAATCACCCCAACACAAAGTAATTCCCATTCAACCCAAGCCGACGACAACCACCGTGAAAATCCACTCCTTCCAGCGGTAGTCTCGTATCCCCATCACTATTATGCAGGTGTTGTTGCCTCTATATTCACATAGAAACAACTTCCTAAAGCACAATAAACACTTATCTACTAAACGAACACAAATATTTATTTACAAATCACTCAATCATAAGAAATATATTAAGGACAAAGAACTATAATCAGTAGTTATGATATTCGCTAAGTGATATTTATTTTCTGAAAACACATAACATCAGCTTCAACAACGATTTAAGTGAACTAGGAACTAAACATCAAAACAAAATACAAATATTATTTCAAGAATCACAAGTTCACTTAAACATATCCAAGAAACAAACAACCAAACTAACCTAAATATGCAATCAACAGACCAAGTAATACAAAGAAGATTTACTGGAAATATAATATGAGGGATTAGCCTTTTTGCCAAAATTGATCTATTACTATCGATCAATTTCAACAGAGATTCTGCCAGGAACTTGAGCTCTCGTTGCTTTGGCTGATTGGCTATGATACCACTGTTATGTTTTATATAATTTTTCAAACAACAATACTCAACAAGGATGTGTTCCAAGAATATAATATCAACGTATGAATTATAAATTGGAAATAAAAAACATAACTAACTAAACAAACAAAATCCAATTGAATGAAAATGAAATAAGACTCTTTGTTCATCACTCCAAATTCAAGCAGCGGCAGCGATGTCCTTTCTCCGGAAACAAATAATCAATGGATAACAGCAACCACGACGATCTTCCTCCAGCGACGACAATAGCTCTACGTCAATGGCAACTCCAGCGCGACTCTCAAGCGATTCGACAAAACGATTGGGGAAACTCTTTTTTCGGCTTAGTCTACAACTTCTCTTGGCGGTGAATGACAAGATATAGCGACTACCCAACCGAATTCAAATAAATCCAAAACCGACGAATCCAACGACCAAAAATCATACACCTAATCGACACACCAATAAAACACCGAAACATTCAAAATTCACTAAAAAGAAGATTTACTTGAGAAATTGATGAGAGTAGCGGTTGTAATTAACACCAAAAATAAACCCCCAAAATCCACAAAGAATTGAATGCAAAGAAGGAGAAGAGAGAAATCACATACTACCCAGAAGTGAAGAATCGCACAGACTGAATTCTTTAATCTATCGAGAAAAGAAGAAAAGGAATTTATATGGTGCAGATCTAGATAGAAAGATTTTGGGTTGAATTTGGGTTGCAGGTTGGATACTAATATCGGGTCAGAGTTGGGCCAACATTCAATTGCTGATCTAGAGTGAACACAACCATGTTTAGCAAAATATGGCCGTGTAAAAACTTTTAACTGTGCTACTCGATAGATCCACTCAGACCGGTATATCCATATAAGCATTTTTTGTTAAACTTTTAACTGTGGAATAAAAAATAATTAAAAATAGTTATAATGAAATCAAACTTGATGAATTTTTTTATATTAGTATCAAAATGATTATTATTATTTTTTATTTCAACGAGCAATCTTGATTTTTTCCCTAACACTAATAAGTCCATGCATAAGTAGAGTTTGAATATGGTACTTGTGGACAAAAAATTGTGCTATTTTTAATAAACATAAAATTTGTACAAATTTTATTTGATTTGAATTTAAAGTGGGTCATATTCTCTAAATGGGTCCTTTGATTCTCCTTCCGGGTCGATTTATTTTCCAACTTGGTTTTCTATGGCTTCTTTGATCCGAAGAGATTTGATCTTCGGTTTGATTCTGCCGGACTGTAGAGGGCTTTGGTCTCCGTGCAGACAATTTGATCGTCAGCTTTGGATTTGATGTCTTTTTTGGACGATTCGAGGCTTTGATCTTTGATTTGGCTTTGCCGCCTTTTGGAGAGCTTTGGTCTCCGTGTTGACAATTTGCTCGTCAGCTTTGGATTTATTGTCTTTTTTGGACGATCAGAGGCTTTAATCTTTGATTTGGCTTTGCCGCCTTTTGGAGGGCTTTGGTCTCCGTGTTGGCAATTTGACCATCAGCTTTGGATTTGATATCATCTTTGGACGATCCGCAACTTTGATTTTTAGTTTGCCTTTTCCGCCTTTTGGGAGCTTCGGTCTCCGTGTGGGTGATTTGATCATCGGCTTTGGATTTGATGTCTTCTTTGGATGATCTGCAGCTTTGATCTTTGGTTTGGCTTTGCCGCCTTTTGGAGAGCTTTGGTCTCCGTGTGGGCGGTTTGATAATTGGCTTTGGATTTGATGTCTTTTTTGGACGATCCGCGACTTTGATCTTTGAGAAGGTGGATTTGGTGTTCCATAACGCTTTTGGCGGCGTGTCCCTTTGACGTTTGGATCGAAAAGGGCCGAGTTGTTGCTTTAGTGAAGAACGCGATGAACACCTCGAAGCTTTGAGATGAACTTTGGATGCTCTTCCTTGGCTTTGATGGATTCTTCAACGACTTTTGGAGGTTTGATCCTTGAAGAGGTGGATTTGGTGCTCCATAACACTTTTGGCGGCGTGTCCCTTTGACTTTTGGATCGAAGAGGGCCTGGTTGATGCTTTGTTGAAGAACGCGATGAACATCTCGAAGTTTTGAGAGGAACTTTGGAGACCTTCCCTTGGCTTGACGAATTCCTCAACGGCTTTGGGAGCTTTGATCCTTCCTCCGGCTTGGACATACGACGAAGAGCGTTAACTTCATCGATTCGTCAACCAATATTGGATCATTTGTCCAAAATAGTGACTTTCGACGAAGAACGCTTCGAAGGACACGAACAACATGAAGAACAATACAGAGAAAGTCTAGGGACTTACCCATTTGCTTGAATTCTCGATGTAACTTCGGTGTCTCAAATGAACTGGCCATGACTCCTATTTATAGGGGATGAATGGCTTCGGCTTCCTTTTTTAATGATGCCACATGACGCGTTTTGATTGGCCAATAGGAAGATTTTATAATCTTTCATTTTCCATCGGATGCTCTTTTCCATTCTTAACGGATTTGATTGTGCACCTTCATTTCTCGCCAAGATCTTTATATCATTGTCTTTTTTCGGAATATATTAATTTATATACTTCCTTTATTGATAAGATTAATTTATTTTGCTACCAAATTTATTATGACTCTATTTATGCACGTAATATTTGTAAGATATCTTCCATTTTAAGCCGATTTTTGCATTAATGGTTGATATTTATTGTACAAAAATTAACATATGTGTATAATTAAATATCATATATTTATTTTATTAGAATTTTATTTTCTTCCAAAATACATGATATTTAATTAATTTTAGACATATGTTTTTTTAGTGTCTACGGTACTCAATACAAAAGAGTATCTAATTAACTACAATGTTTTTAACTACGAAATATTTTTGTAGTTAAAACGTGTCATTTAGCAAAAGAAATTAATTTCATCGGTAAAAATAAATTATGTATTATAAAATTAATTTCATTGCTAAATTATTTTGGCTAGAAAATTCTATTTTCATTGCGAAATGATTTAGTTACAAAATTATTTTTCATAGCTAAAACCATTTTACCAAAAAAATTCATACATATTTTGTTGCTAAAACTTTTTGGTTTATGAACTTTATTTTTACAGCAAAAGTGTTGTTGCTATGAAATTATATTTTTGTAGTTTTTTTTAAAATTTTTATTGCAAAAAAAAACATATATTTTGATACAAAAGTCATATTTTATTGTCAAAGACTTTAATGAGTTTTGTTGCGAAAACCTTTTACTATAAATTTATTAATTTTTGCTACGAATTTTTTTTTAACAAACTTTCAATCTTTTTTTTTTTTTTTTTTTTAGCACGAAAGAAATAAAAATAAGAATAATGATAATTAATGAAGTAAGAATGTTATATATGCATTGGCGATTGAAACGCCAAAATGGATGGATCTCATCAGATGGACGTCACAATATATATATATATATATATGTTGGTGTTGTTGGTGATGATATATAATTTATAAATAAAGTGAGAGTGGGAGTGGGAGTGGGAGTGAGTTTAATCACGTAATTAATTATTAAGTTAAAATTGATAAGATAACATTAACGGGGCTGTTGTTTATCAATGGTGGGAATAATTAATAGGGCCCGCTCGAATTCTGCCCCTCCCACTCCCACTGGGGAAACACAATCCCTCCATTTCATTAATTGATCCTCCCATTGTTTGCCAATGCCAAACCCATTTGCCAAGCCTTATTCACCACACCACACTTCCCTTCATTTCCTTAATCATTCCATCCCCCCCTAATCAATACTATTATTATTACTATTACACTAATATTCAAACACACTTTAACAACTTCTTGTATCTTCCATCCATCCATCCATCGTGTTTGATTTTATTTAATTTAATGTCCCGATATACACAACACCTTTCCTTAAAATTTGAATTTATTAATTTCAGGGGCTTAACACTTGCTCACTCTCACTTGATTAATTTATTGATTGCATCGCTACTTAACTAGAAAACAATGACGTTCAAAAGTACACGTGCAGCTTAGCTTAGCTTTGATGCTTTCCTGAATCAGGGTTGCCTCGCTTTTGATTAATTAAATATTAATTCGACTCGAGTCCGATTATATATATATACCACAAAAAAATATATATTTATCTTAGGACTGAATTTACCTAGTCTGGAGTACTAGGTAAACTGCTGTCGTGTCGTCCTTCCATTCGCATTATCGGGTCTTGCCAATTTCTTTCTTTTCAATGCCCCGGACGGATGCTCCTAAATTTCATAATAATAATAATAATTAAATAGTTACCTTGTGCAACTATATGTAATTAATTAATATATATACACATATGAAAAGGCAGTGGTGGCGGTGGTCGTTCAAAACTTGAAAGCCTTGGTCGGACCTGACGCCGGCCGATAACGGAGCCGTTTGTTTATATATACTTTGAACGGCTTTGCACATTGGTGTTTATTCAGATTTCAGCACATATTAGTTTTTTGATGTACGTTAGATTAGAATAATATATGCATGCCTATTACCAATTTTGGATATTGTCCCAAGTTGGTTAATACCTTGGAATTATGCTGTTATGTATGGGTGAAATGCTACTCCATTTATCATTAATTAGCTTTAGATTGAAAGTCCGAATCTTTTCTTAGTATGATATTAGAGTCACAATGTACGTACTGAAATCGAATCCTATATGAATTTTGAAAAACCACTCTACCTATCAGATTTTAGATTGAAAATTGAATATCTTCTTTAACAATCAAAATAAAATATTATAATTTCAATTAAAGCAAATAGTAATAATACCAATAAAATTATGACAGAACATAGTATAGAAATTAATTATCATTCGTATACCAAGAATCTAAGCAAATAGTAATAATACCAATAAAATTATGACAGAACACATTATAGAAATTAATTATCATTTGTATACCAAGAATCTTTGTATGTAATATAAGAAGAGTGGAAACTGGGGCCTGCCTCAGACTGGCCTTGATTATTAGTCTGCCTAATATGAAAAATATATATATACATAATATAAATATGCTGTGCGTCTTATCTATCTTTCTTACAGTCACACGCGCGCGATTATTACATTGTTTCACGTCTTCTCATTTATTCCTATTGCCTTTTACTCATGATAAAAATGATCAATTAATTAATTAATAGTAAATTGAATTGAATTTGATTAATCTCTAGAACTCGCACTAGCAGAAGAATTTTCTTTTTTTTTTTGGCAAGGACAGGTAAGTAGATTAGGATAAAGGAGTATTGTTATCTATACTAGTCACGATCCCATATTATACATGGATATTAATATTTTTTTTTCCTCATCCCAAAAATTTTGAATTGATGAGGTGTTACATGACAAAACTAGACATGAGGAAGAAGAATCAAAGATCTACTTGATATTGAAGTTCCAAGTTAGATCAATAGTTGACCAAAAGCGAAGGTCTAACACGTCAAGCGAGCCTAGCAGTATCGAGCCAATGTTGAGCGAAGCCAGCAGCACCGGGCGAGGTGTGGCAACATCGAGTGAGGTCCGTGAGCGTCGGATGTTTCTAGCCGCATCAAGAGAGGTTTAACATCATCAAGCAAGATCCAGCAATATCGAACGAGGTCCGACTGCATCGAACGAAGCCTATATGCATTAAGTGGAACTTCAGCGATCTCAACGAAAACCCAAGATGTAGAATAAAGGCCGCAAGTTAGGGATTGTGGCCTCAAATGTGAGTCAAAATATAATATCTAGCAAGTCCAATGGAATTGAGGTGCAATGAGCTAGGTTAGAGGAGAGTGAGTTTCTTGTCT